GTAAGTTGGGGGAACATTACACTGTGAGCTCTTTAATACCAAGCAACTCACCTTAGTCAATCATTTAGCATCCCTAGAAAAGTGGGTAACTGACAGATGTATGTTGAATTGAACTAAGCAGAGTGAGAGGAACAAAGATCAACCTCTAAATTCAGATATCTTTGGAATCTGAAGTGTCCCAGACAAGAGAATTGTGGGGGTGGTGGGGGGGAAGAGGGGTCTATGCCCCTAACATGTAAATAAATTGCTGCTGTCAGGTTTGTTTCCCTTTACTTAACACTTTTTTCTTCATCATCAACATTTATTTTAAAACAAACACTAGTCACACTGATGTAGCATATGTTATCACCCTTGCAACTTAATGATAAATGAGCATAAAAGTGACATCAACACCAGTGTTAAACAACCGCAGTAGAAGCTTTGAAATATTGACTACGATCTTGTCAATTACTGTGGTTTATGAAGGAGTCCATTGCCCAGTTGATCTTTTAGTTTTCCATAGTTTACAATCTTACATCCTAGATACTTATAAGATTAATCAATATTCATAAGATTTATGGCAACCTGTGTAATAACTAGAAGGATAATAGTTGAGTTAGCTTGAAAAGATTCTTTGGAGGAGCTTTTATTTTTTATTTTTTTAACTTTTTTATTTATTTATTTTGAGAGAGAGAACAACTAGGGAAGGAGCAGAGAGGGGGATAGAGGATTTGAAGCAGGCTCTGTGCTGACAGCAGAGAGTCTGATTTGGGGCTCGAACTCATGAACCATGAGATCGTGACCTGACATGAAGTCAGACGCTTAACCGACTGAGACACCCAGGCACTCCATTTGTTTTTCTTTTTTAATTTTTTTAATGTTTTTTTCATTATTGAGAGACAGAGAGACACAGGGCATGAGCAGGGGAGGGGCCGAGAGATGGAGAGACACAGAATCTAAAGCAGGCTCCAGGCTCTGAGCTGCCAGCACAGAGCCTGACGCGGGGCTCGAACTCACAGACCATGAGATCATGACCTGAGCCGAAGTCAGATGCTTAACCGACTGAGCCACCCAGGCACCCCTAGGCACCCCTTTTGGAAGAGCTTTTAAATAGAATTCTGAAATGCCTAAGATATACAAGTTAATAAATTGGTATAAAATGATTAAGATGTGGGGCACCTGGGTCGGTTGGGTGTCTGACTTCAGCTCAGGTCATGATCTCACGGTCTGTGAGTTCGAGCCCCGCGTCGGGCTCTGTGCTGACGGCTCAGAGCCTGGAGCCTGCTTCAGATTCTGTCTCCCTCTCTCTCTCTGCCCCTCCCCTGCTCATGCTCTGTCTCTCTCTGTCTCAAAAATAAATAAAAACATTAACGTGATTAAGACGCTTAGACTAGGCAGATGGATACATGGTTTTAGAGACTAAAGATGGACTTCCATGCATGGATACTGATAAGATTTGTTCAGCCAGAAAATAGGCATGACCCACGCAACTGGATGAGCAAGTGATTGAGGAGCGAAGGAATCTGGTTCAGACGAATATCACTAGAAAGTCTTAAAATGGGGGGACTTTTAACATACTTCAAATAGCAGTGAGTCTTCCAAGAAGAGACAATCCAAAGCACTGTTTTCAAATATTGAGAAATAGGTTTAAATACATTCTTGAAAGACATTTGCAGATTCATATATGAAAAATGTTCACTAAAAGAATAAGTGAAGATATCCCGTTTTTTGTTTTGTTTTGGTATTTTTTTTTCTGGCATATTTCCTTGTAAAAGCCAGAAAGTGAATCTTAACATGTATCCAGTGGAATGGTTCGGACTTGGGGGGGATCGTTTGATTCAGCATGGAACACATTTGGGATGGTTCATTAGGGCAGTGATGTTGGTCTATACCAAGTGTTTATGGAACTTTTCTTTTGTCCTAAATTTTAGGCCACAGCTCCCACTGAGTTAATCTGAAAGACTACTTCACTAGCTCCTTGCAAGACGAGAAAGGGGAGCATTCAGCAATGCCTTCAGGCCATTCAGCCGCAGTTGCAAACAATTACTGGCAACATCAAAGTACTAAATTCAAATCACCAAGTGCTTCATGATAGATGAGAAACATCCACAAGTCCATTTAAGGCATCCTGGGCACAAATCTATATGATTTATCAGCTGCATTTGAAACCTTTGATCATTACATTTTATTGGATCAATCAAAGTCCCTGGTAGGACTGGAAGAAGTGGTGCATTTTGGAGCCACCTTTATCTCTTAGGAACACTCAAAAGATGGTTTTAGGCCAATGCCTGTGTGCCCCAAATGTTGTCTTTTGAGGCAGCAAAGGAACCTAATGCCTCTCGGGCCCTTACTTCTGATATGGAAGGTATAGTTTCTATGTAATATCACTTAATTGCTAAACAAGAGTCAATCAACTAACGTTCAATCCAGAAAACACAGAAGCCAGGCTTTCCTGGCAAGAAACACGTCTAATGAAAGTGCCAAAGGAAAATCTGACGGCCCTGTCCGGCGTGGAGACTTTTCCCACATTCATAACTGGTGCTTGAGACCTCATTTGCTGACCCATAGCTTACTCTTAGAGCCTAGGGGTCGGCTCTGACCTCAGGCACCTTTTACCTTGTGCATGCAGTAGTCAGGGGTCATATTATCTCCATGATGTGGAAATGGCCCCAGCTGCCCAGGCCTTTGTGACCTCATGTTAGATAACTGCAATCTAATCCACTTGAAAGTACCCTGAAAGACCACCCAGGTGCTTCATATGGCTGTTGTCTTGCTATTAAATAGGTCCATTACACAAGCTGGAGCACATTACACCAACAGACTAATTCACCCACCAGCATAGCAAGGCAATGATCCACGGATCATTATTGACTTTTCTGTGTAACTCCTGGCATCAAATTCGATGTGCATCAAAATCCAAAGGCCACAGGTACAAAACTAGATTGTGTTTCTATGATTCTTCAGAAGAGGCAAACAGCTCTTGCTAACAGCATTCAAGCTCTTTCAAAGGCAAGTTTTAGACATAAAGAGCCTGCTAATGCTAAGGGTGAAGGATATAGAGTTTGGTTTGAATTTAAAATAATTTCCACATATAGATTTTTGAGAGTCAGAGGAATGACTGGGTTTCAATCAATTTAAATCAAATAAGCCAAAGATTAGAAATCCATGACTATTTTAAGGGACACAAAAAATAAGTTTATAGAACTATTTTCTCCACAGGTCCTGGGAATACACCAAATTATACCAGGACATGAGATGTTTATTAACTTGAAAGTGATAACTGTTTCATGTGGTTTACGTCACTTGCTTATAAGTGCTGTATTATTACTAAGTTAGTATTTCCTATAAGCAAATAGTGCAAAATCGACAATTTTGATAAGAAGTGATAAAATAGCAAATTAAAGCAAACTCTACAAAGATGAGAGGCAACTTGATAATGCAATTTAACAACATAAACATACCACCTATGAAAAGCATTAAGTTACAGGTGCTGATAAGAAGCCAGTATCTAAGTCAGCCTGTATTTGAACTTGTCAAATGGTTCCTGCGACAAGCCTTCTTTGATTTGAGATGAAGGATCATAATCTCATCTTCAGGTCTTCCTAGGGCAAGCAAACCTATACACCGTGCTGTTTTCAAAAGAGGCTGACATAGAAAAGGAGTAATTGTCCTTATAAGCCATCCACGAAAGTTTGGATGCTATCAGAACCGTCTTTGTACAAAGCTCATCTAGGTTATCTCACACTATGGTATCCATCTAGATTGGAAAATACACAGGCATGTGCACACACACAGAACGGCTTTCGCAGAGAAGTATCTGGGTCTCAAAATTAAATAGGTTGAATGCCCAGGTCGGTGGGGGGGGGGGGGGCATTGCTAGAACATTTAATTTGTTCCCTCCACGTACACAGCTGCGTGGGACATGTGATGGCTATCTTTCTAGTTTGTGACAGGTTTTGGTTATGTTCTTGAAGTCTATCCAATATTTTTGCAAAAGGCTCGTGATACTCTTTGTCCATAGCCCCTGGTCGTTTTCAAAAGTAGCTCCTAAAGGGTCTTCAAAGAGATAAACCAGCAATTTCAAACTAGACTTACATGCCACAAAAATATTATGCAGAAAACGTTGGATTCATAACAAAGCAGAGCATTTAGGGAAGGGGTGAGAGGATATACTCTCCCTCTGCATGTTTAGGAGCAGCAAAATCACATGATGACACCAAAGAGTCAGGCGCACTAGATGGCAGGAATCTGCGGCCATGCAATAATCTACCACAACTTCTACTCCTATATACTAATTTTATAAGCCCTTATTTTTAGAATACAGATTTCATAAACCCTTATGTTTAGAATAGATTTCATTTCCTATCTAAAACAAACATATGGTATCAAACAGTCTTTTAATGCTCAGATTTAAATTAGTTTTAAAGAGATAAAAAGACTGAAATAGTTCTGCTATTTGAACACGCTTAACGACAGCAATATTTATATAAACATATTGGCAGAGGAAATGTTAAATCACTTATATCTCAGTGGGCCCACAGTTTCATTTTAGAGAGGAACACGTTTACCTAAAACATTCATAATGTGGTCTATAGATGTGGTGGACGGAATGACTAGGAGACCTACTTCCAGCAACTTCTCTGCATTCAAAACCTGAATTCTAACTAGGTTGCCCCTAGTAGCCAACCTAAGTGTTTTTCAGTGATAGCTGGCTTGACTTGGTTGCCACGTGGTCACTGATCGTTTTTGTGCAAATATTCCACAAATGGTCAGAGATGTACTCAGGCATCCTGGGTTCCGGGTAGAGTTCATGCTGCTTTCTCTGAAGTCTACCTCGGGAGAATCTCTTGACTCTCGAAAGCAGGATTTTCTCACTCTGTGCGTTGCAACCCACTTATGACTCTTGAAAGCCACTTGTGGGGTCATGATCAGCATTCCGTACCACGGACGGTATAGAAAACGGTACAGAAAATATCAGTGTGTGTTACACATAGTAACGATACACTTTGTTTTATACTCACCTGTGTGCGGGGTTGCAATGCGAAATGCATTTCCTTTGCTTTGAGACATGATCTAAAGTGTTTGAAGAAAGAAAAAGAGCTCTAAATTTGCCTCAGAGGATGTGAAACAGTAGGTTTGAACCCCAGCGTGGCTTGAGAAGTTTCTGAGGGATTGCAAGGAAACACTTCCAGCCCAGGAGTGAGCATGATATTCTACATCCAGAGCCATTCGGTGTTTGGATTTTTATGTCCTACTTAATATTTATTTTGCTTAGACATTTACTAGAAGCTTGCTAACTTTAGGAACTGTGCTAAATCTGGGGAAACAAAGATAAATATGTTATGGTCCTTGACCCCAAAGGCCTCTGAAGAGACTGACTTATACACACATTTAATGCATAAGACAATGTCACCAACCATAGGCAAGCAGTCCCTGCAAAGTGCTATAGGAGCCAGAAAGGGAACTGTAATTGTAACTGGTGGAGGGGACTTCACAGGAGACCTGACACTCCAGTGGGTGGTCACCTGCTCATCCACCCACCCACCCGCTTCTATTATGTCCCAGGCCTCTGGGCGGCAGCCTTTGCACTGGCTGATCCCTCTGTTCCAAATGCTCTTCTGCCCTTTCCTCTCCTCTCAGAGTAGCTCTCTCATGGTTACTATGTACTCCTTCACCCTGTTTAGTTTTCTTTGTTACTAACAGAAAGGCTCTGTGCATTTGTTTACATACATAATTTCAGACTCAGCCAGAAAGGAAGCTTCTTCAGAAGAGAGATCTTGTTTGTCTTCTTACTGCTGTATGCCAGTGTATACGTGTTTGTTCAATTAAAGAAGGAATTGGGAGAGTTCGGACTGATGTAGGTTCAGCAATCATGCAGGGACACAAGTGGGTCTGAGCCAGGATATACAGAATCAAATGACCAATCCGTAATACAGGCTGCTGATCCAACTTACAAGGTCAGATATAAAGCGTATGTGTGTTGAGGGGTCAGGGGATTTGAGGTAGGGGGTGAGGAGGAAGGACGTGGGGTAGGGATCACCTTTGGACATCAGAGCCAGACTGGTATTAAACCCAGAGAGGGTCTTGGCTTTTTACATGTCTGCTTGATAGGAACCCTAGAAACAGGAAACCCAGAAGCATGACACATCACTGCTGATTCTCAAGCAGGGCAATGTCAACCAAGGCAGAGAATCTAGAAACCAGTCTGCCCAAGAGAACACAGTGGCACAAATTCTGTCACCACTCCCAAAGTATCAATTACGGAAAAAAAAAATCATTTATTTATCCCAACTTATTCTTCCTGGGAATGGTAGGAGACAACTCCACCAACATACTAAAAGTTTTCCGTAACATTAGCGGCAAGTGATTCAGCACAAGGAAAGGAGACTGTGCAGCATACATCATACGGGCAGGTCTGTAGGAGGAATGCTGACATTTTTGGCGAAAACAGCAGACCCAAGACAGCAGCTGTGGCAAGACCGTCTAATGGTCGCTGTGGATCACTCTGATTATGAGCCACAAGCATGCAATCACTGGCACACAGAAACTCCTGCCTAATAGCCGTGAGCAGTTCGCCTCTGCTATCTAAGTGTCACAGACTGAACACACTCTTGCCCGACCTAAACTCGGCATTAATACCTGAATCACAGCCTGGGGAAGCTCAGTATTCCACTGCTGGAAAGAAGATAAACAGCAATAACACAAAGATGTAGCCTTTTTAATGCTGCTAGTTAAACCAAACGCATTTAGTCTTTCTCTCGCATCTAAAATGTCTGTCATCTGCTCTTGGTGGAATAAATGATGTTTAAACAGTCCTGCAGAAAACCAATATCTCGAAGGCTTTTGCACATACCAAATGGCAGAATGAAAAACCTGGTTACACTCAGCACCACAGGGCACAAATCATTAGGTTGCCAGGGGACATGCTGTTCACGGTTCCACGACCAGAGAAAACCACACGCTCACTGCCTACAGGGCTGAAATACACAACTAATTTCTGTTGCATAACATATACGTAATCTGCTCTGGAAACAAATGATGAAGTTCAGTAGCTATGACAGTATAAATGTATTAACTTATCTATTAGAAACCTACCCATATCAAATGGCTTCTTCTCACCTTAGTCTCGCAAGGCAAGGAATTAAATCATTGTGTCTCATCAGAAAGAGTTGATTAACATATCTGGATCCATATTTGTTTAGCCACACCTCCATTACCACAGCTAGTAAGTCCTATCATTTGGGGTGGGGGGCGGAATTGAAGTACACCTGAGGCACATTCTTAGGGAAACATGCACTCTTGCAGAAAATGATGGTGATACATACATGGTCATAGCTAACCTCCTCAATATCTCATCAAGCAACAGGCATGATTCTAAATTCTCTGTGAATCTTCATAGCAAGTCTAGGGCTTACCCCATTGCCCAGCTAAGGAAACAGAGACCAAAAGAAAGTTAAGTGTTTTGTTCCACATACCGAGTATATGGTAAAAGGGGGATCTAAACCCAACTAGTCGTTGTCCAAAGCCTGCCTCCCTGTCCACATCCAAAGCACACCTTCTGAGGAGACTCCTGCAAACAAATCGAAGCAGATTCTGCCAGACCTGAGCCCTGGACCTGCTGATGTAAAGCTGCGTTTGTCTTCCCAAGGAAGAACGGTACAGTCTTACTAAGCACCTGAATGGTTGAGTCCACAAATGCATCCTTTAAAGGAGGAAGACCTAAAACCATCAACTACATTCAAGTCAAGCTGCAGAAAAAATATCACTGTATGGAATGTCCTTTAGCACATTTATCCTGGCTGCAGTATAGCATCAAGCATCTAGCTAGGGTCTGGGAAGAGGGTCAGGCTCATTTTAATAACAGAAGAAAGAAAAAGAAAGAAAGAAAGAAAGAAAGGAAGGAAGGAAGGAAGGAAGGAAGGAAGGAAGGAAGGAAGGAAGGAAGGAGAAAAATATTGCTGCTGAAAGTAAATAAATCCATGAAAATAAAGAGGAAAGTTTATGATTTGGGGAAGGTGTAGGCACCAAGAAAGATGCAAACCCAGTGACCATAGCTACCAAAGGCACCCCCTCAGCTTTCATCTTCTTCCATTTCCTCTGCTGGAAGGCCAAAGGTAGGGACCCATCTAAGCAGCATTGCTGCCGTGTACAATTATTATTTTAATCAACATTGTGCTGTGTTAATGAGTGCCAACCATGTGCCAGATGGTGTTGAAAACAAAGCCTTCTCTGCAATCCCGCCCACTGGGATCACCACCTCTCCTCTCTGTGAAAGCGATCACAAATGTGGTAATGAGCTAACTCCAATGCAACCGAACTTCTAATCCCCCCGACACTTTCTGATTGGGCACTGCACCAAGATTTGGCATAGAAAAGGCACCTGGAGTGCTGTCGGATGATCTCTTCAGGGATAATGGACCAGGGAACTGAGCCTGTAATGATTTCATATCAGTTTGTTCAAGTTCAGTTGCTATTAATTGGGTTCAAGTTCAGCTCCAGTTCACACAATCTAAATAAATAGCTGCTGAAACCAGCTTAGTGCCTGGCACAGTATGTATCTTTGTAACTAACAAGAAGCAAGCAAAAGAGAAAGATGTAGAGGGACATCTTGCATAGATATTGTCTGCTGTAAACAGTCTGCCTAGTGGATGTGTGAAGTAAGGGGGTGGGGGGCCCAACAGTGTTCTGGCTTGTTACAGTTGTGCATGCTTGTATTGCTTAACAAATGATAATATTCTGCAGAATGGAGCCTGAAAACAGTTTTAAACATAGTAAAACTTGTACATCATTCCTGAGAACAGCTGTAGGCAAAACGCTTGCCTGAAGTTAACATGGTCTAGAATCTGGACTTTCTCTGTACTTTCCATCTCTACCTTGGAAATTCTAAGGCATCCATTCTATTGTAATTTAAGTAAAATTTGAAAAAGAAACGTTTTAGACAAATTCGTTGTTAAATAAGAGAAAAGGAGCAATATCACAGAGGAAAAAAAATCTATTTAAAAAGAGGGCTTTGCATATTTTATGAAAAAAATCAATCCCAAATCTATTTTGTTCTAGCCCATTAAGATTCACTCTAAGTTGGTTTCACTAGACTGAAATTTAAAATACATTTCTAAAGATCGTTTGGAGGAAATTTTGAATGGAGGCATTTTCTAGTTTAATGTTAGTTGGCAAATTGTGATCTCTGGTAGAATTCAGTCATAAATAGTACGTTTAAAAGTAGACTGGCTGCAGAAGATGCTGGCATGGTTATTTAACAAAGTAATAGAATTATATATTGAAGTCAATATGAACAAGTAATATATCAATATGAACAAGGATGTATAATACACATCTATTTTTATGACACAGCAATATACCTTTTAAAGTAGAACTAGTTAAAAAAAATTTTTAACATTTATTTATTTTTTAAGAGACAGAGAGAGACAGATAGTGAGCAGGAGAGGGGCAGAGAGAGAGTGAGTCACAAATTCTGAAGCAGGCTCCAGGCTCTGAGCTGTCAGCACAGAGCACGACACAGGACTCGAACTCACAAACCGCGTGATCATGACCTGAGCTGAAGTCGGACATTTAACCGAATGAGCCACCTGGGTGTCCCTGACATGAGGTATGGGATTAAAAGGACCCAGGTTCCCCATTTCTACCATTTACTTTATATGAATACATCAAGTTTCTTAACTTCCTTGAGTCTCAGTGTCCCCATACATAAAGCAAGAATTAAAAGGCACAGTGTCTTTTCAATGAGTGAATGTGAATGAATAATGTGTCCAGCAAAATGCCTACAACATAATAGATGTTCAGTAAACAATGTCCCCTCTTTCTTGCCACACAGCAATCCCATGCATTCTAGTTCCACTTTTTAGTCAGTCTTTCAAGTTACCACCTCCAGTGGCGATCTGAGCAGTGGTTGAAAAGTTACCCCTAAAATGTGAGCGGTAATAATTTGTGGCCCCAATGCCTCCTCAGAATCAGGAAAATCAACAACACATAATTTGCTTACCATCTGAACAATACTATAAATTGTATTGTTTTATAAAGAAGTCTAGATAATTATTTTCTTCTATGTGCCAGCTACTCAGAATCTGTTCTTGAATCCTCAGGAGAGTTTTAAAATTTAGATTCAGCCAGGGTGGATATATGTCTATTGAACTGCTGAAATAGTCCTTCTCAGGACACCTTTCCAGTTGCAGACCTATCTATATAGGTTCATGAAATTATTCACATGTGGTTTATTTACTATATTAGAGCCCTGCCATTTTGAGGCAACCCATAGGTAATTGTGCTGTCTCTGCTCTCCTGTCACCCATCACCTCTCTCTGAACTCTGTCACTCTTTCTGCTGAGGTGCTCTGAGGAGAGGTCACTTAGGGGGTCCCTTCCTGGTCAGATTTCCAGTTGAGTAGTCATGGTCTCTGAAGGGAAGGCCTCTAGCGGGACCTCACTTCAGACTGACAACTCCCATATGGTTCCTGTTAGCCTGCCCGTGTTAACCTTTGCCTTGTTTGCTTGACTTTGCCCATCTCTAATTTCGGATTGAGAGCTCAAGCACAGGAGTCGAGTACAATGTTCCAGAAGACTAACATCGAGGACAACTCAACAGAATCCCTAAACTTAACTGCCCCACCCTCATGACCCTAGAGGTTTTTTTTTTCCTTTTTTTTTTTTTTTAAACGTTTTTAATGTTTATTTATCTTTGAGAGACAGAGTGCAAGCTGGGGAGGGGAAGAGAGAGAGGGAGACACAGAATCTGAAGCAAGCTCCGGGCTCAGAGCCCGACACGGGGCTCTAACCCACGAACCATGAGATCCTGACCTGAGCTGAAGGCGGACCCTTAACCGACTGAGCCACCCAGGGGCCCTGACCCTAGAATTTTTAAACTTGGAGGGAAATGCCACCTTAAGTCAATATTACCCATCTGACTTTGACAACACAGAGACATTTCAAAAGTATTTTCATACATAGAACAAGTCTTATATATAACAAGCATAGATGGCACTCCTCAGATCCTTCTTAAATGATCAATTCCCTGAATAAATGTTATACTTGTAAAGGTGATCTGACCTGGAAATAAATTATTTTTATCTGAAAATATAAACCCTTCCCCTTGTTTTGTATTAATGAATTTGTAACATGGGTATTTTTTCCCAAGGCCAGTGAGAACTTCTCTGCATTTATGAAATTCTGAGAGTTTAGATGAAACAAAAAATAACACTTTGATTTAATTTAACAAATGTTAGACGCACTAAACACCTATTATGTTGCTGGCTTTATAGGCAATATTAGGTAGCCTAAACCCATGCCTTCTCCTTAAGGAACGCACAGGGATACTCGCAAGTACATAGAAAATAACATGAACAGCGCCAGACAATTCCATCATGAAGGGCAAAGCACAACAGTGCAAACTACCTAAGTGCCATACACGGCCTAAAGGCACCCTGCCAATGTGCAAGAGGTCAGAGGAGTTTGCACGAGCAGGTGGTCTGCATGTCACCCAAGACTAAGGATGGGATGTGGATGGAGAAAACGGGGGAGATCATTATAAGTGAAGGGAAACGCAAAATCAACGGCAGAGCGGCAGGCATGACCACAGGCTGGAGCACTGGGAAGGGGGTGGGTAGGAGGACTCGACACATCCCAACTACTCTGATTACCTTTATTTATTTCTTATTATTTTTTTTGAATACATGAAATTTATTGTCAAATTGGTTTCCATACAACACCCAGTGCTCATCCCAAAAGATGCCCTCTTCATTACCCATCACCCACCCTCCCCTCCCTCCCACCCCCCATCAGCCCTCAGTTTGTTCTCAGTTTTTAAGAGTCTCTTATGCTTTGGCTCTCTCCCACTCTAACCTCTTTTTTTTTTTCTTCCCCTCTCCCATGGGTTCCTGTTAAGTTTCTCAGGATCCACATAAGAGTGAAAACATATGGTATCTGTCTTTCTCTGTATGGCTTATTTCACTTAGCATCACACTCTCCAGTTCCATCCACGTCACTACAAAAGGCCATATTTCATTCTTTCTCATTGTCACGTAGTACTCCATTGAGTATATAAACCACAATTTCTTTATCCATTCATCAGTTGATGGACATTTAGGCTGATTACCTTTAAAAAGCAGCTTTATACTGCTTTACATCACTTCTTTTCACACAAATAGTGTAAGAACGAGCTACCACACAAATACGTCCGTACCTTTTCATGAAAGACTGCAACTTCAGCACCATGGAGACTTGGGTCAAAGCCATAATCCAGAAAAAAAGGTTCTAGGAAGCACTGCCCTGCCCACCATGACCTGCCTCTTGGTCAGTTCGCTAAGCAACTTGACTTTTATGCTTCCATCCTTGGTATCCCTTTCCCTCTGTGTACTTTCTCCTAGTTTTTGTCTTTGTCACTCTGACCTTTTTCTTTCAAGATCTATCCGTTCTACCCTCAGGGAAATGCAAATCGAAACCGCAGCGAGAGGCCACCTCACACCCCTGAGGATGACCATCATCCAAAAGACAGACAATAACAAGTGTTGGTGAGGATGTGGAGAAACCGGAGCCCTTATCTACTGCTGGTGGGAATGCAAAGTGGTACGGGATCTACGGAAAATCGTGTGGACATCTCTTAGATGGTTAACTTCAGGGTTGGCGTATGGACCCGGCAATTTCACTCCTAAGTATATACCCAAAAGAAATGAAAACATATGTGCATGCCAAAACTTGTATACAGATGTTCCTAACAGCATTCATCATAATAGCCAAAGTGTGGAAACGCACCGAACGTCCATAAAACAGTGAATGGGTACATAAAATGTGGTACATTCATGAAATGGAATATTTTTTGGCAATAAAAATGAAGTACTGATACTTGCTGCAACATAGATGCATCTTGAAAACATTATGCTAAATTAAATAAGCCGGTTATAAAGGATCACTTATTGTTTGATTCTATTTACATGAAATGTCCCGAATAGGCAAATCTATAAAAACATAGTAGATAAGTGGTTGCCCATGGTGGGGGCTGGGCTGCCGAGTGGGGAGACTAAGGAGTGTTATGAAGGGGTGTGGGGTTTCTTTTTGGTGTAGTGAAATGTCCTAAATTGTCTGTGATGATAGTTGTATGATTCTGTGAATACACTAAAACCCACTGAATTGTAAACTTTAATCAGATGAATTGTATGTTGTGAATTACATCTTAATAAGCTGTTAAATCAAAAAGAACCACCCATTCTGATGACTTTGGGTAAAAAGCACTTTTCATTTAGGAGTCCTAAAAGTCCTAGCTTCTTAGAGCTGAGGTGGGTATTACAGGTGTGGGCTAGTGACAGAGACTTAATAGCAGAACTCACTGGCCAAGCAAAATATTGCATGGAACACAGCAAGTGAAACAGGGAAAAAAAAGCAGTATTTTATTAACCTGCATGTGAATTTTTTAGTTATAGACCTAAATCAAATTGGTAACCTTTAGGCCAACTTTGCAATATTTAATTATAAGTTTGGGACAAGAACAACGAGGCTCTCCTGATGAGGAAAATTCTAGGTATACTGCCTTTATTTAAGTGTGCACATTATTTTTATTATACTTTTCAAAAGCATTTAAAGTCAAACATTTCTGGAATCTTTGCAGAACCGTTTCGTTCAACAAGAGATCAGCTGAAAACATTTACTCCAATATTCTGCAAATGAGAAAACTTAGGTGCATTAGTCATATGGTTAATAAGTTTCAGACTGTCACTCTCCTAACTTCCATCCTTCTTTCTAGATTTATTGATCACATTTCATATGCTGAATATTAACTCAAGGAAATTATGCTACACAGGGTAAATAAGTAGATAAATATACACAGATTATCATACCCATGTATTACTCCAGAGAGTGAATACCTTGGAGGAATCTAAATCACCCACTTCTATACTCCCAGAGTTTAGCATGGGGCCTGGCGACTAAACACTGATGGAATTAACACCTAAGGAATAAACTTCATCTTCTAGTATTACTAAAAAACATGGAATTCTAATGAGAGTTCTTGTCCCTCTCTCTAACCACCTAAATATCACCTCTGCTTGAACTGTGTTATAAATTACACTTCTCCCTACCCTCCTATCAGCTGCCCCTTTGACCTGTTTCTGTTCATGGCAGCATGACCTTCATGCTAGTCACCTGTGACAAGGCCAGGCTTTAGCAAGTGCCTACCCAGGACAGTTCAGTAGAGTCAGTGACCACTTCATGTAGGCAATTGAGATAAACAGAAATCAAGTCATTTAACAAATCATTGATACGGGTGATGATCAGGAGAGGGAGGTTGGTAAGTATGAGAGTCCCTCCGTGAGACCAGTAAGCAAAGCCAGGGAAGATGATGAGATATTATTCAAGACATTGATGCAGGCTAGGACAGATATTCACAGAAGTAAACAATGAGTTATGTGAGGAATTGGTAAGATGGTGCTGGAATCTGAAGTCAGCGAATGGTTATTTGTAAACATTGACCAAAATGCAGAACAAAAACAAAAATAAAAACCTCAACTCATAAAAGAGGGAATCAGCCATCTGCCAAAATATCCTTGACCAAGAAAGTGATGGGGACAACCAAGATTATCTTCAGAGTCCAGAGTGCTAACCATTACACGATGGAACCCACTCCAAGATTATCTTCAAAAGCAAGAATTAGCAAGTGACTACAAAAATATATGTACATATATATATACATACATACACACACACACACACATATATATATACACACACACATATATATAT